GACGCGATAAAATCATCAACAAACCTGAAGGACGAAGAAGATGACGATGGACGTGGAGAAGATGATAACTGTAATGAGAATGATGATATTAACTGTAATGATAATGATGATGATGTTGTTGACTATAATAATGATGATGATAATGATATTGATAAAAATGATAATAATGATGAAAATAAAAACAATGTGGCATCTGACGCGATAAAATCATCAACAAACCTGAAGGACGAAGAAGATGACGATGGACGTGGAGAAGATGATAACTGTAATGATGATGATGACGAAGATGAAGAAGATGAAAATAATGATGAATGTATCATAATAAATGAATCTAGTAATCAAAATAATATTAACAATGGCGGAAAGAATGATCTTGTTACCCAGAACGATAATAATGAGGAAGAGGATGACATTAACTGTAACGGTAATGATGACGAAGATGAAGAAGATGAAAATAATGATGAATATATCATAATAAATGAATCTAGTAATCAACATAATATTAACAATGGCGGAAAGAATGATCTTGTTAACCAGAACGATAATAATGAGGAAGAGGATGACATTAACTGTAACGATAATGATGACGAAGATGAAGAAGATGAAAACAATGATGAGTATATCATAATAAATGAATCTAGTAATCAACATAATATTAACAATGGCGGAAAGAATGATCTTGTTAACCAGAACGATAATAATGAGGAAGAGGATGACATTAACTGTAACGATAATAATGAGGAAGAGGATGACATTAACTGTAACGATAATGATGACGAAGATGAAGAAGACGAAAATAATGATGAATGTATCATAATAAATGATTCTAGTAGTCAAAATAATATTAACAATGGCGGAAAGAATGATCTTGTTACCCAGAACGATAATAATGAGGAAGAGGATGATGACCTTGACGTGTTGCTAACTAAAGCAGAAATATCATTAAGGGAAAAACAGAAACAGCAATCCTCAAAGTGAGCTCATTTTCTTATTACGCGTAATAACAACTTTACAATACAATTATTAATATCTCCTATTAAAGAACAGAAATATCACCGCCGCAAAAGCCATCGAAGTTAAAGTAGGAATTTGTTAACGTCTTGAATAGTCCAGTATTGAAATCATCATAAATAAATTGGGTTTCTATCTCTTTCACAGATTCCCAAGATTAGATGCCGGTATTTCAATAAAAGATCACCTATATATTACAACACGCTCTGACGGCATTGCATCTCTTCGGCGACCACAAATTGATGATATTGTCTTCGGTCAAGATAAAAAAGCCGCGAAATTGCATAATAACCCTCAAAAAAATAACAATAACGAAAGAAATGATCCTCCAAAGGAATTAACCCGGAAACAAAAGAAAGAGGTAATTACCAAAAATGATTATTGTTTATTATTTGTTTTTTTTGGGTGAGGGAAAAAATGATGAAAAACTATAGCACCCAGAAGCAGATTACATACTGTCAGCTGTGTTGGTTGCAAATGTCATAGTTACCCTGATATATTATCAACTAAATTAATATAAATTTTCATGCAAAAAATTATATTCGCGTAGATTCTCAATTTTTATGAATTTCTTCTTGTTTAAAAATAATGTAGCTTAGAGAAGCCACCACTGGACCTGGATGGTTTGACATGCCAAAACCCGAACTCACACCAGAATTAAAACGAGATCTTCAAGTTGTGAGATTACGTAACGTCCTTGATCCAAAACATTTCTATAAAAAAGAAGATTCGAAACAATTGCCAAAGTATTTCCAGGTAATAAATTATGAGTCATAACTTTTCGATTTATACGATTGACGCTAAATTTTATTTATTTCGAATCATGAAAATCATAGGTTGGCACAATAATAGAAGGACCAACAGAATTCTATTCTTCACGGTTACCACGTAAACAACGAAAGCAAACTATCGTTGAAGAGCTGATGGCCGATGAAGAAGCAAGATCATATTACAAACGCAAATTCTTGGATATTCAAGAGGTGACTAATCTTTTAAATCGTTCTTGTACAAAATTAATAGGATCATTGATTTAGACAATTCTTCCATTTTTTTTTATAATGAATTATGTTAGACGAAACAAAGTGGCGGTAAAAACTATTATAAGAATTTGAAAAAAAGACGGAAACCAAATTGGGAAAGGAACTCTTGATTTTTTATTGTTCGTTTAATTATTACATTAGTTCTTTTGTGAACTATTCTCCGCATCATTTAAAGTATAGTACAAGCCACAAATGTTAGCCTAACACTAATTTAGGGAAGTTGGCAGGAGAGGCACGACATACATACGTATTGATATAAGGGTAGTTTCGCCCAAATGCAATAAATCAAAAAAGTAAACCATTCTAAGCTTCAAAAAGCCTAGAGTAACATCATTGCCTATTTACTTATATTCAAATGAAGATGACATAAAGATAGGGTATGATGATTATTTCTTTCTTACCGGTATCGATTATATCTATTTTTTTTTGAAACAGAAAGATTCAATAGAATAATGTTGATAATGACGATTATGCATCATAGTAAATTTTTTTTAAATGATAAAATTTTTTTGTTGAATGACAGCGAATCAAATCAGATTCGAGTCGCGGAGTTTCTTTGGCGCTCTTGTATGCATACATAGTTCACATGTTTCTATCTATCGGAGTCATTTTTTTTGATACTGCGTGTAAACGAACTACCTAATTATCATAATGTAGATGATTATTAAAGAATAAAATCCGAAGCAAGAAAAAAAAGTAGTACTACTCATTAAATGCACATTGCATTGTCAAAGACAAGAATTTAAGGAATAAGATTCTAAAAACAAATAATAATAAACAAAAGAACTCTAAAAAATATATCTGAATATGTGAATTTGGGTGTTATACAAAAAGAGAAAGAATGGAAAAAAAGATGCTATTATTGCTATTATATCTGCTGTTGTTTTCAAGAGGTTATAATATAGATGATTCACAGAAAAAAACTAATAGTAGTAATAATATATCTGCATGTGTATATATATAAATATATATATATATAGAAATATATTTATATATATATTTTTAATGACATTTGTTGATTTTTCTTCTATAATAAAAAAGTTTAATTTAGAAAATGATAATTGTAATAATAGTATTAGACTACTAAGTAGCATCATAATATAATAAAATAAAAAATACTAAAAACAGAAAAAAAATATAACTGTACAAAGATGGAAAAAGAGGAAATCTAGTTCGCCTCAAATTATGGAGAGCATAATCTAGAAAAGGACTTCACGACTACCGTGATTATTCCTTTTCCAGTTCTATGTTTCCCATAATATTAATCTTTATGATTGATTCTTTGGTCTTCTTAGTCCAAACGAGCTTGGAGGTCTTAATTGTGTTCCAGCTGGTGTTGCCAATTTTGAGGGTGTAGTCGCAGCAATACCGGTAGTGACAGCGGCAGACGGAGGAGTTAACCTTGAAGGTGGAGTAGACATAGATAGACTACGTGTGACACCTACCCCAGATTTTCGTATTGAAGGACTTCCTATTAACGAAGTTGGTGGTATTGGAGAGGTTCCTCTACCTGGTGATGAGCCATAAGAAACAGAGCTAGTTAACGAGGTCAATGAATCAGTTTCTGATGCGTTGGATGGTGATTCAGGAGGCGAGAACAACGAATATTCTTCGTATGATGACAAACTATCAGAGCTACGACGTCCACCATTATACGCGGATATTCCAGTTGTTCGGAGCATCGAAGAACCAGGTCTAATATTTGAAATCGCAGTTGGACTTGTTATGCGGTTAGCGGCAGAATTTGGCGAGACAGCAATCGATACAGGTCGAGGTTTTTTATTGTTATATAGGGCAGAAGTTTTAGATTTCGATTCGGAAATTGTACCAAGTCGACTTGATGGTCTTGATGGTGTAGCTGAGCCAGGTGTTTTTGAGATTCCTGCTCGACTTGAAGGCCGCGCTAATCCTGAAGGCGGCGTAATATTTGATGTTGTATGTAATGTAGCTGATCTTGTTAAAGTGGTTTGTCTTGCAGCGCCTGCTCCTTCACCAGCGGGACTACCTCGAATTTGGGTTGGTGATGAAGGTCTGCTGATACCGGATGGCAATTTAGTTTGATTTAATCCTGCCCTGCTTAAAGATCGAACAGGTGTAGCAACTGGTTTCGATGCTACTGCTGCTCTGGCGTCATCTCTTGAACTATTACTGGCACCACTCAAAGTTCTCTGACGTGGAGCAGGTATTTGATTAGTATTATTATTTCTTGTAGGTGTGCTTTGTTGCGTCCTACGAGAACTGACTCTTGATGCTGTAGATGTAGTACTTTCTTCGGCAGAACTATTACTTACAACACTCATTGATCTTGGTCGACTAGGTGTAGGACTTGTCATAGTTTGCCGATTTGGAGTTGCAATTTTTGATGTGACTCCCGTTGTGCCAGTTCTAGGCGCACGAAGTCCACGTGTAGTGTATGGTCTTCGTATTGAACTTGCCGATTTTGTACTATTTGATGACAACACTGAAGTAATTGATCCATTTGACATTGTCTCATATTCGTCGTGATCAGCAACAGATGAAGCTCTTGACGATGACGGGGACGAACCAAAATGAGAAGTGAAAGCAGGTTTTGGTAATCCCATAGGAATTCCTGTCTTAACTCCGATGAGAGAAATACGCGACGATGGAGTCGGAGAAGGTGATTTCGGGTCTATCATTGATGTCATTTGTACGTCAAGCGTCATATCGAACTCATCTTCTTCCAGTGAATTTTCCGGAAAGTTATTTGAATTGGCTGTGATATCGTCAACTTCCTGTGTGACAACTTTCAAGAGTATATCGTTAGATTCATCTTCTTCTTCTTTGACGGTTGAAATCGCACGAGTACGTAGATTCGCATTGTTTCTAGGACCCGGTGATAATCGACGATGAGGAGTAGTGGCCGGAGAAAGACGTCCATCCAGTTCCATATTATCGATGTCCAAATTTTTTCCGCGTGTAGTTGGCTCTAAAATGGGCGTCAACTGTGCATCTAACGTCATATCAAATTCATCTTCTTCTCGAGAATTTTCCGGGAATGTATTTGAATTGGCGGTAATGTCGTCAACATCTTCCGCGAGAAGAGTATGACTAAATTCATCGTCATCTTTGATATTTGTATTATTATTTCTTCGAGTACTATTACTCCTACTGTTTGGTTCTGGTGATCGAGTCAACGGTGACAAATGTCTCTGCAATTCAGAGGTATCAATTTTTTCTAAATTCCAGAAATTCTCATCATCGTCATCTACTACATCAAGGAGCCCTGAATCTATTCCTCCCGATTCTAAATCGCTTGTTTGTGCTAAGATCGCATCCCAATCCAAAGAATCGTCAGACTCATTACCTTCCAGAGAATGAGTAGACGATTTCGGTGTAATAGCCGCATCATTCTCGCCGGTGGTGGTGGTTGTTGATTCGTCATTAGCAGGTGAATTCTTTTTCTTTTCAGGAACAGTAATGATAATGTCCTCAGTGTCCATTTTACCCTCTGAAGCTTGTCGTCTTCTCTGCTTCTTTAATTCCATTAATTGTTTTCTCTGCGCAAGCCGAGCTATTGCCGCTTTTTGTCTTCTCTCTTCTGCATCTGCATTCGTATTTTGTGATGAGGATGTGTTATCTTTACCCGAATTAGAGTTATTATCTCCCATAGTAGTAGTGGCAACCTCAGCAGCAATTGGACTACTTAAAGGCTTTTTATTATTTTCATCATCAATATCCTCTGATATTGATGACGAAATAGAATTGTCTTTATTATGTGATCGTTTAGTTGTAAAGTATTCTTTTAGGCTTTCCCTTCTTGTATTTGTATCAGAAGTGTCTTCTGCCGGATTGTCTATTTGCATATTATGAATATTGTTGTTAGTATAAGGCTGCTTTTTTGTGAAATATTGTTTTAAGCTTTCTCGTCGTGTTAGTAACTCCTGCGCATGAGCTTCTTTTTCTTGTCGTTCTTCTTCGGTTAATTCGGGAATTTTATCTTCATTTAGTATATTATCTTTATCGTCTTTGATATCATTATCAGTAGTAGTACTAGTAGTATTTTTTGCTACATCACCTTCATTGTTGCTCGTCAATATTTCGGTTTCAGGTTCGACCTGGAGCTTCTCAAAGGCGGTGACTAAGTCGCCGTGAGGCTGTTGTTCATCTATGGGCGCTGGTTCAATGTGACTCGGGTCTTTTAAATTTGAAGCTTCCAAATTATCTTGGTTGCTATTATCAGTATCTACTGTTGAAGATATTATTGTTGCAGTTGTGGTGTCGTTATTATTGTTGTTGTTATTAATAGTATTATTATCAATATTATTATTATTATTTTCGCCATTGGGTATTTCCGTTTCTGTCGGCTGTTTTTTAGCATTTTCTTCTTCGAGTTTACGAACCAAAAGTAACTCTCTCATGTTTCGGAAAAATGTTAATGGTAAACTATGTTATTATTCTTTATGTATATTTGTTTATTATTAATAACGCTCAAATATATTAAGCAGTAGGGCTGTTTAAAAATATGTGTAGTGTGTGAATTACGTTACGCTTGCTCGAAAAAATTATATACACCACAAGCTTACCAGATAGAAACTATAGTAGTCTACATGTGTAGTATTACAAAGTATTAATAATGTTAATTAATGTTAATGTTAATATTAAAACAAATTAAACTAAAATATACACTGCAACAAACAAGACAAAGTGAAAATCGACGCCACTTGGGATCAAACGCCACAACGACATTTTATTTCACATTTTCTTGGCTTCTGCTGATCACATTTGTTTGTCATAGAAAAAAAGTTCCAATAACGATTAGTACTTAAATTTTCAAGTACATCTCTCAAAGAATACAAAAATCCCAATAATGTTTATTTCCATATTTTACGTTCACAAAAAATATTTATAATATATTAAGGTAACCTAGATAAACTGCTTTGTCCTGGAATAGCTATGGTAAATATCTCGATAAACTGAATTTACTAACTTATTAATAGACCCGATAAAATAATTAACTTCGGTGCATAAAAAAATATAGTAAAACAATAGTAATTTGCCGTATAACTTTTTTAACCATATATAGTCTATAGTAATTTAATTGGAAAATTTTATGTTGCATATGAATTATTTATTTTATTTTAATGTATATTATTTTATATATTATTTTTATTTTCTTTTTATTATTGGAAAATTGAAAATGAAAAATTATTTTTTATAATTACAAATAAATCTTTTATTTTTATAACAATAAATAAATTTAATAGCTTAATATTAACCAGAAAACAGAGCATCAAATTTATTTTGCTAATTACTTATTAAATTTTATTTTTATATTAATATTATTAATATTTTTTATCTTTATTAAACAAAATTTATAATTTAATATAATAAATTATAAATAGAAATATATTTTATTAATAAATTCAACTTTTAATTTTATAATTTTATTAGTTATTATATTTAATTAGTGTTTAAATATTTACTTTTTATATTATTTATTAGCTAATTAATTAAGAAATTTATATTTTATTATTATAGTAATGGCCAAAGATATTATTAGTGAATTAAATTTATAATAAAAATTGAAATTTTCTTTCTATATTAAAGTTTATAATTTTAATAAGAAATTATTTTTATTTTATATTAAAATAAAGTTTACAAATTAGAATTTAATATATATTTTTTTCAGATTTTTAGATTTTTTCTGAATAAGTTATTTTAATTGCAAAGTTATTATAAATTTTTTTTAATTAAATTTCATTTTTAATTAGAAAAAAATTTTATGATAACTTAATAATTATTATAATTCTTTTATTAAATTATAATTTATAAATTTTATCTAAATAAAAATTAATATAAAAAGAAAATTTTAATTTTTATTATATTTTATTAATAAATTTAATTCTTTAATATATTATTTTTAATTATTTCAATATATTCTTTAAAAATAATATTATTTATAAATAAGTATTATTATAATTTTTTTATTATAAGTGAATTTATTTTATTAATAATTAATTAAAAATGTATTATATTAATTAAGATATTATTAATATAATTTTTTAGTATATATAATAATTTAAAAAAGTTTTTGAAATTTTTTTTAATTTAAATAAAAATTTATAAAAAAATAATTATTATTTAAATAATAAAAAATATTTTATATATATATACAGTGATGACCAAAAGTAATGACTCAAGGGCTAAATTTATTAATAAAACATAGTGAAAATTGAAATTTTCTTTCTATATTAAAATTATAAATTTTAATATAGAGAGAAAATTTCAATTTTCACTATGTTTTATTAGTAAATTTAGCCCCTGAGTCATTACTTTTGGTCACCACTGTATATATATATATATTTTAATTCTAAAAATAAAAAAATAATTTTAGTATATTATTTTATATAAAATTTTTATTATATAATAAAGAAAAATAAAATTAAAATAGTATTTTTTTATATATAAAATATATATATAATTTTTTTAATTTAAAAAATTAATTTTAAAAAAAATAATATTAATATTTTTTAATAAATAATTTTAAGTAAACTTTTTTATTAAATATTAAAATATATATATTAATTTTCATGTAATTTAATTAGTTATTATTATATAATTATTTTTAAATTTATTCAAAAACTTTTCAAATTAATATATAATATAATTAAATTTATAATTAAATTTTTTATAATTATTCTTTAGTTATTAATTAATTATAATTAAAAATATTTAATTATAACTCTATAATTATAAAATTAAAAAATTAATTTTAGTAATAAATATTATTAAAATTAAAATTTAATTTTTTTAAAATTTATAATTTTATTAAAGAAATAATTTTTATTTTTATATTAAAATAAAGTTTATAATTTATAATAAATATATAATTTAATATAATTTTTTAATTTTTTTAGAAGAATTATTTTAATTATAAAGTTATATAAAAATTTTTTTTATTAAAATTAAGATTTAATTAGAAAACTTTTATAATTAAAAAAAATATTTTTAATAAAATTATAAATTTATAAATTTATAATTAATAAATTAATTCTTTAATTTTATAATTACAGTAACAATCAAAAGTAATAACTCAGAGACTAAATTTATTAATAAAATATAGTGAAAATTAAAATTTTCTCTCTATATTAAAATTTATAATTTTATTAAGAAATAAT